TGTCATTTAGTGGCAAAGTGAGATTGAGTTGAGGCCAGCTGAGCCACATCAACATGTTCTCGTGTTTAATCATTTTGGTTAACGCTTCAATTTGCGATCTATTAATATAGGTAATTGAGACCGCTATGATGTAACAACTAAGTGCTTCATGTATGGAAATCATAGGTCATATATGATTTTTTTTTTTTTTTTTTTTTTTTTTTTTTGTTTTTTTTTTTTTTTTTTTTTTTTTTTTTTTTTTTTTTTGGGTTAAAAACCTTGATGCTGCATCATACTATTGAATTTTTTTTATTACAACCATATGACCTCATCATGACGTATATCAAAAGCAATTTTGAACTTAAAATAGAAGTCACGGTTTATTTATTACACATTGTTGTTATTTTGGTGATTTAAGAGGTTAAGAATATTTTCAAGCCACAAAACAGCAATAAAAGTAATTGCTCATGCTATACAGGCCCAATTAAGTTGGTTAGGTCGCAACGTTTAAAAGCAAAGTTTCCAACTTTTAAAGATCGTTAAACAGGCCAAAGGCCCAACATTGACAGCAGCCCCAAAATATATACAACCATTAATGTAACAGCGAGATTAATGTTTGATATTAAAAATAGGGAAAAAAATTTCATAAAAGTCATATTATTGCAAAAGTCATATTAAAAATAGAAAAATCCCCCGACGATATGAATGGCACGGTGCTTAAAGCTATTTATAACTTTCCACCAAAAAAAGTCATATTATTGCAAAAGAATAGATAAAGGGAAATGTCCACACAAAAAAAAAAGAAAAAAAAACACTTTGATTGTTTTCGTATAGAAGTGTTGTGATCGAATTATCAAGAAAACAGGTAGATATGATTTTACGTATATATGTTTGTATTTTTGAAAATTGTTTTTACCAAGTTTAAGATTATGTCTGAGATTTTTTTTCTGGTGTGAGTACATTCTCCTTGTTTTTGTTAATTGTGAGGGTACATCTGTTGATTTTTTTTATTTTATTTTTTTTATGTGTGATGGCGTTTAAAATTTATTGTGCAGACTAGTCTGGGGTAGTGTTCTACAAGATTCCTAATAGTTTTGTGAAATTGTGTTCTTAAAAATTTTAAAATTGTGATGGTGTGTTGAGTGGTTCAAGTGAAGTTAATTAGCAGCACTTGTGAACTTGTAAGATAGCCATAGGAGGATGAAGTCAAGTTCTGAAACTAATCAGAATTTTTCTACACCTACTCTCTACACTTGGTTCATTTTGTGTGGAATCTCCTCAACAAACCCCTTGGAAAAAAAAAAACTATACTCTCTTCTTTTGTCAATCTCTCCACCTGTCAACACTTTTAACTCCTGTATGTTTAGAGCCAACTTAATCACCGCCATTTTGAAAAACAAGGCTCAGAAAACATCCGGAACTAATAGTCCCGTATGTTTTCTGAGCCTTGTTTTTCAAAATCGACCTCTTTTTGGCCTATTGAGGTCTATTTTGCTAAATATTTAGCAAAGTGGTCCATTTTGCTACATATTTAGCAAAAGTGGTCTATTTTAAAAAGTTCTTAAAAAGGTAAGAAATTAAGATGGTTTACTCATAATTTATGTAGTTAATAGCCGAACTTAATGGTTTACTCATAATTCTTAAATGCTGTGTATGTTGAATAAAAAGGTAAGAAATTAAGATGATAGAAAATAGTTATTAGATGATAATTCCTTCTATGTACTTCCTTGGTCAAACTCCATGTCAAGCTGGTAAGCTGTAGTTATCAAGTATCGATCTCAAAGCCTTGTTACGAAAATACACTAGCTTCAATCCTATCCTATTCTAGGATATCCTAAATTAAATTATAGTTTTTATTTTACTATTATTATTATCTCGCATTAGAGTTTGAGGAGTTTGAACTTTTGATATAGAACTTGCATTATAATTTGGAGGAAGGCTTAATTCCTTGCTTGGAACTTGTGAAGGAGTTCATGTGCGATAGTGTGTTCTTTTTGTTCCTTTTTTCAGAATCTTAGGCCTCTTTTTGCATCACTTTTACAAGCAAAATGGTTAATTTAAACAAGAAAGGAAGCAGAAGGGGTTATGGGATCACATGCTTGATCAAAAAAAAGATAGCTTGATCCTATGATGCCTTTCTAAATTGAAGAAATTTTCAAAATCGTCTCAACTGGATTTTTTTAAAGAAATAGACCCCATTCACTTTTAATTATAAAAATCGACCCACTTTGAGTTAATTACGGTACTAATTAGTCGGGGTTGCCAACCCCGACTAATTAGTAGCCTAATTACAAGTGGGGTCAAGAAGCGGGGAAAGGTTTGCGGCTGCTAATTAGACTACTAATTAGTCAGGATTGGTAACCCCGACTAATTAGTACTGTAATTAACTCAAAATAAGTCGATTTCTATAATTAAAAGTGAATGAGATCGATTTCTTAAAAAAAAATTCCGTTGAGACGATTTTGAAAATTTCTTCTTTCTAAATTCTAACATCTCATACATCAAGGGACATGTCCATGTATATTTGATTGAGTTTTGGGTTGGCACGAGAACACAAAGCTCAAGGTTAGATTTGTCACAAGGATATGATGTGTCAAATTTTAGCGTCACCTAAAATTTATGGCTAATAAACACTTAAAATACTTTTTAATTTTTCCCATTT